CCTGCTAACAGAAAGGTGGGTGGTTCAAACCCACTCAACAGTACTGGGGAAGAATCATCTGTCATCTGCTTTTGTACAGATCACAGGCAAGGAGTGCCATCTTCTGCACATGCAGAGCATCTGTAGTTAGTTACCGCTAAGCAGAGGGAAGGAAGCCCAGGGTGGGGAAGTGCACCGGGCACATGGTAGAGTCCCGCCTTGGCCTTTCTAGTCACCCGGCCTCCATCCTCACTTGTTTGCCACACACCTGTGAAGCATGAACAGAGAGGTTTAACTTGCTTGTCAGGCATATAACTGTGGCAGGAATCAGGACCCTCATGTGCCCAAGTGGTCTGAGAGGATGCCAAAGTGGCCGGCTGGGCCTCCCCTGACTTCTGCAGCAGGGAGAACGTATTCTGAAATTGGAGAGTCAATCAACCCATAGCTCTGATTTCTTCCTAAAGGATGGATGTTGTGCTGGTTGCAAACCCATTTCTCTTCTTCCCCTCACTTTTAACCCACTCTTTTCTCTTCTTGCTCCCTCCTTCCCCTCCCCCCTCTCTTGAGAGTCTTCCTCCTGCTAGTGCCCAGCTGAAGGCACTCTTTTACTTCTGGTTTGTGTGTGGGTTGAAAACATCCCACTATGCGGCTTCCTTTATGGCTTTTGAATTAAGACATTGCTCTGGCTTCAGTGCAGATACCAGGCTCTCATAACTGTGAGAAATCATGAGTGTCCGAATCCCTGATTTAAAGCCAAGACCTCATCTGTCTTTGCGCTGCCATAGCTTGATTTAATGATTCAGGGCTGGAGCTGGTGTTTCCACGGGGTTTGTCTCTTCTTTATATTACAGCAGATGCAGAAGCTTTACAAAATAATTGAGTTCCTTGGCTGTGTGCTGTAGGGGAGATGACGGGTCCTGAGGTCATCTGGGATGCTCATTCTAAGACTGGAAGAAGGGATGGAGTGATGGATTAGGGTCAGTTTAGTGACTCCACATAAGGTACCAGAAAATACTCTTGCAGTACTATTACCTCATTGCTCATCCACCGCCCTCACTACCTGTACACAAAGGAGCCTGGTGGTGCAGTCGTTAAGCACTCTGCTGCAAACTGAAAGGTCTGTGGTTTGAAGCCACCATCTGCTCCATGGAAGAAACAGGTCTTCTGAAATGCTTCCACACAGATTACAGCCTTGGAAATGTTAGGAGGCAGTTCTGCTCTGCCCTAGAAGAATCAAATCATCTAGAAGGCAGTGGGGTTTACATATGCATGCATGAATGCACAGGATTTACCACTGAGGAACTGGAGAGACTCACAGCCCATTCACCTCCCAGCAAGAGGCGCAATCGGACCCACGTGACCCTGGCTCCCTTGAACGGGCAGGTGTGGTGGGAAGCACCAACTCTGAGGGATCAGCAAGAATTAGTTTCTTTTAAAAATTACTTTTTGATGCCGTAAACATATTTCATCCAGTTTTTCTCAGTCTTACCCACACCCCAATGCCAGCCTCATTCTACAACAGTGGCACCATATAGCATTTGCCCCTTTGTGACTGAGATGAAATATGTTTACGGCATTGAAGTC